CTACCATTCATTTTGTTCTCTTCATTTGTATTCTCTTAGGATTGGGAGGCAATTTCAAAAGCCAGCTGAAGACAAAGACCTGATGGCTTTCCATTCCTTAAGTAGAGTTTTCCACAGGGTGGGTACCCTTTATTTTGTCTCCTTATTCCCCTGGAAAAGTACTAGATTCAAGATGAATCCCAATGCCAGGTAGTATGGGTACATGTCTTTCTAGGACTAATCAGAGTTTGAGCTTACAGGAAAAGCATTCATAGGTCATTAGCATATTTAGAATTAAAACCAGATTCACAATTCATATTTCTAACTTCACATATAAAATGATACATGCACAAAAATGGGATATACAAATTCAGCAGATTGAACATTTAAAATTGGTATATTAAATGGTGCATTGCATATTCATATTCAGAAGCCAGTTTTCAAAAAGCATGGGGACATGATACCTGTTTCTTTTCGCAGCAAATCCAGCTAAGTTAGATTCCTGAGAGAGACTTTTCAAGTTCTTTAGGGTGCAATGCTCTTCAGTGAGTATCTGTAGCCAAACTGGTAGTCTTTTGAAAGTAAGGTTACCTTCATAGCAGTGGAAGCCAGGACTTTCCCATGCCCTCCTTCTTCCTGAGCTCCATCTTCACTTTCTATCAGATCTTTGTCTCTCTGTCTATCCCAAATTTCCCATTGTTTCTTCTGTTAAACTGCTTCTATTGTTCTTCTGCTGCCAGCCAAGCTGAGTTCCCATGCCTAGCCAGTCTTGAACTTTCAGCTGCTGGGAGCTAAAATTCTGATCATCATCTCTTCCTTTGTCTCCTCCAGATCTTCCATGTAAATGTGCAAGTCTCACTTAGTTCATGTTAACAATTCTGATCTACAACCATGCTGCTAAGTTACTCAAACACCCATTGCTTCCTTCTACACTCAGTGTACTGCAAACCAAAGGTCACAGAGAAACCAAATTAAACCTCTGGACAATACAAATATTACCAACCATTTCTACATTCATCATAGGAGCCCAAAGCTGAAAAAGCAGGAAATAGCAGAACAAGACTGAGGGGCACTGGCAGGGCTGTGTGGGGAGCCCAGAGCTGCAATAGCAGGGGCTGCAGGGCAAGGCTGTTTGGGAAACTCAGGGCTGGAATAACAGGGGCCTGCAGGGCACGATTAAGGTGCATCAGCAGTGCTGTATAAGATTTGACATTTGCTGTTTTAGTTTCAGGAAATTCTTGATCTGGTCTCTGTGGCACCTGCAGTCACTTTAGGATATTTTTAGCTTGATAATGTAACTAAATGTGTTTGAATGATGTATGATCCTGGGAAGTCAGAACCTGGTGGGACCTTGGATTGGGGAAGATAACACCCTCTAGGAGGTATAAAATGAGGTGATTTCTTCAGCAAATCCTATCACAGTTGACTGCTCACTAATAGTGACACCATGAAACTTTTCCTGATTCTTGCCTGTCTGGGAGTAGCAGGTGAGTTTTCAAAAGCTGATTAATTCTGCTGATGCTCCAGTGTCCTCCAGGGACAAGTTTTCCCCTTTTCTTTAGAGTTCGCTGTCTTTGGGGTTTTTCTGACATTGGTAAACCTCTTTCTACAAGGAAGAAGCCTTTTCCCGAAAGAACTCTTTCAGAAAAAGGTGTGTATCGATTGGGAAAAGGGCTTTTTTTCAAAAGAAGAGGCCTCCAGGAAAAAGCACAGGTACCCTGGTGGCCATTCCGTCCATAGCAATCAGAACTTAAATGCAAGATAGCATCCAGTGAATGTGGATGCTATCTTTTGAAAAAGCAGATCACTTTTTCGTTGTGCTTTTGCTGTGTGGACAGTTACTTTCAGAAGAAGTTTTTTCGCAAGATCTCTTCTGGAAAAGCTTCTTCCGAAAGAAGCCGGCAATCTAGACATAGCCTCAGTCTCTCTTTCAGTCTGTCTCTTCTTGTCCTCCTTTGCCCTTTTCTGCCTCCTTCAGACCTTTACATTTCTACTCCTTCTCTCAAGCTATGTCTACTCTATAGCTTTTTCTGATTGCGTTTCTGGAAGAGGCTTTTCTGTCATTTGGCCCCCTGTAGACAGGGCCAAATGGTGGAGAAACTTCCTCTTTTGGAGGAGCCCTTGTTCCTCATAGAATGAGGTATACACGGCTCCCCGAAAGAGTGCATCTGCTCTTCTGCAAAAAAAAAAAAGAAGAGCAGACTCATTCCCTGGATGCGGTGGAGTTTTACCTCTGGTATCCCGGAAAACCCCCGCAGTGTAGACATAGTCCCAGACACTGTTTTTACCTATACTTGCTCCCTTCTCTTGCCCTGTCTCTTTCTCGCTCTCTCTTCCCATCTATTTTTTGTCTTTTATACTTCTGACTCCCTGCAATGAAACAAAAATTCCATTGGCAGTTTTAATTGGTATTGACATTCTTTTTCATGTCTTGTCCTAAACTGATGCATATGGTTTCTGTTCACTGTTAATCAGCCATCATGCTCTGCACCAGATGTGGCAGTTCTTTAGTGATGGATGCAATCAATTCTCTCTCTCTAATTCTTGTTCCCCCGACTCTCTCTATAGTCTGTAAAACACGTTGAGGTCTTTCAGGGCTTGAGATATGAGAGCAATGTCCTGGGCTGTGAGGGAGCAGAGGTGAAGAGACTATTCTTTCCTGGACCAGAAAGTTAGTTGTCACAGCCTCATGCCTTAGGGAGTGGTGGGCATGAAACATGGACAATTGAGACTAAAGCTTTTAAGTGTCTGGTTAAATAATTTGCTGTTTGTTAGCTGCTGCTGCAGTTCATATCACTGGAGTCCAAATTATTTTTAATACCTGCTGTGATGTAGTGCTGGTATGTCACTAGTTGCTATGCTTGGGCTGTGGGTGACCCCTACTGGCCTGCATCTGTAAGCACTGCCCAGTGTGGGGGGTCGCCTGAGGAGCCTCAGGTCCTGTAGACAAAGCAAAATACAGGACTATGTAGCACTTTACACTGTCCCGTAGACAGTGATCCAACCGGTTCTCACCGGAGAGGGAAGGAGTTTGAACAAAGGAAGGGAGTGGTTTGGAGAAGAGTCAGCCTGACTGGGGCAAACATGGAGAGAAGAGGCTAAGCGGAGTGATGGGAGTCCAGGGGCCTAGACACCCCTACCCTAAGGGGTCTGCGCCTGCCTGGCCCTGACTCCTTATACCCACATCTCGCCCACGCTGGGCTGTATCCTGGAGATGCAATAAACCCTCTCTATTCTACTGGTTGGCAGAGTCTCATCTTGCTGCTATGGAGGTGCTGGATCGGGGGGATCCCTGATGCGCCGTCACACCTGCTTTCTCTATTCCCTCAGCTGCTGTCCCTGTTGATGATGATGACAAGATTGTGGGGGGCTACACCTGCTCTCTCCCCTATCAAGTGTCCCTAAATTCTGGGTACCACTTCTGTGGGGGCTCTCTCATCAACAGCCAGTGGGTTGTGTCAGCTGCTCACTGCTACAAATCGTGAGTGAATGATAATACATTGCATATTACCTATGGCTAAGTGTCCTCTGGCTGAGATCTTCTCAGATATAATCAGACCTTCCCACTACACGTATGGAAGAGCAATAAAAGATAATCCATGTGGCAGGATGTGATGTGGGTGACTGAATAGGAGCCACTGCCCTCTGACTAATTATATCTTCCAGTGCCCAAGAATGGGGATGCCATTAAAGTTCCCACAGCACTTTTCTCTGTAGTAAGGTTGATGGTCGATCAGTCCAAGCCAATTTCTTATTTAATTCCCCCAGAATTTTCAATTGGATCCATTCTTCTTCTTCTTCATTTTGAGGCCTAATCTATGCTTGGTAACATTGCTAAGTGCTACTAGACAATTGTCCCATGCTTCCCTAGAGGTGGCTGTGGAGGGGGTGAAGTGATCCCTATATAAACTTTCTGGACAGGGCCTCGTTCTGCCCTTCAGTATTTTAGTTCAATTTCCATTGAAATTCATATTGTCTGAGCACAGGACTGAATCCACCTTCAGGGAGGTAATTGGCCTTGGTATGAAAGTTTGCTAGTGAAATGTAATATATTATTGCTACTCCTATAATGCCAAAAAAACAAAACCAGTCACCATTCCTGGATTCAGGAAGGACCTGAAGAGTGCAGCTAGCTGCGGGTTGTAAGAAACATCCTGAGCTGACTCTGGGGATGGTCTAGGTTAGGAGTTTTCCAGCAAACACCTTCTGCAAAGCTTTTCACAAGAGAAGGACCTTCTCCTGTACACAACACACCAATAAGTTCTCAGAACCTTTCATGCTTTTGACTATGGGCCACAGCTTGAGATCTACTGGACTGGTAGGGATGTCCACTTCTGTCTTTTATAGTTAGAACAGACAGAGCTGGTGAATGTCACTGCTACTGTGTCACGTAGACAAATATTCAACCAGGGAAAGAATCATCTGAACATCTGCCACTCACCATTTGAGATCAAGCATCAAAATTCTCCTAGCTGGTATGTTCTTCCACAAGTAGGCTCACTGGGAAGATATAAGACCTTACACTTAGTTAGTGCCCCTGTTGCTGACGAGTTACCAAATGAGATGACCCATTCGTTTTATTTCCATATGAAGACTGCTATGAAAGACAATCACAATTATTTCACTTGTGATCTAGGACAGAATTTGAACATCTAACTACATAGTCCACTGAATTGTGTTGTGCCACCTAGTGCTATTTGTGGTTAATCACTCTCCATTTTGCCTGGTTGATTTTGCAGCCGCATCCAGGTGAGGCTTGGGGAGCATAACATTGATGTGCTGGAAGGGGACGAGCAGTTCATCAACTCCCTTAAAATCATTCGCCACCCCAAATACAATTCAAGGCTCCTGGATAATGACATTATGCTCATCAAGCTGGCAACCCCGGCTACCTTGAACTCCCGTGTCACAACCATCTCCCTGCCCTCTGCCTGTGTGGCTTCTGGGACTCGGTGCCTGATCTCTGGGTGGGGAAACACCCTCAGCAGTGGCAGTGAGTATGAATGTGCCTCACACATGACACACAGATGCCTTATCCTAGCATTACAGTTCTAGAACCCAGATACAGCTCAGTCCTGCCCCGCAGCAATTTTTGCTCTTGCAGTCTTTGGGTCTGCACGCTCAGCTCTGCTGATTATCCTCACTTCTTATTAACAGTGTCCCTGCTGTCCCAGCCCTAGGCTCCTTACACAGCTCTGCCAGTGTCCCTCAGCCCTGCCCTGCCCTGCCCTGCAGCCCCCTGCTATTCCAGTCCTGGGCTTTCATTCCTGCCTTGAAATAATCCCTGTTATTCTATTATTCTAGTCATTGAGTTCCTCCTCACAGACATCTGCTAATTCTGGTCAGTTGTTCTTTCTGCTCTCTTCTTTATTGGCTTCTCTAGCCCAGAAAGGGACCAGTCTTTACATTAATTGGCATGTCTACATTCTAAGATGTATCTTACCCACTCCCACTCCCATGTTGGCAGGCAATTACCCTGAGCTTCTTCAATGTCTGGATGCACCAGTGCTGACAGATGCCGAGTGTAGTGAAGCTTACCCAGGACAAATCACTACCAACATGATCTGCGTGGGATTCCTGGAGGGTGGCAAAGACTCCTGCCAGGTAAGCTGCCTTTCATTTCCTCTTGTTCTGCAGAGACTGGGCTCAGCTGCCCTCATCCCTCTGATACCATCCTTAGGGCCAGAACTCTGAGAACCTGAAGAGTTGACCACAAGATGTGCTGAGGAAAAGGGTGTGTGCAGGAGTTTGGGGGCATGTTTGGGAGTGCAGACTGGGTGGGTCAAAGGATCAAGCTGTGGATGTAGAGCATTTTATCTGGGCTATAACTGCAGCTCAGCCTCTGATTTCTGGTAGAGATGGGCAGGATGGCTAGAACAAGAACAGAGATAGGTGCCTGCTTCCAATCCAGTCTCAGATCAGCAGAGTTGGACCTATTAAGCTTTTAACCACAGTTAGCACTGTAATTCCAAGCACTGCTGAAGGGTGCTGGGTGGATGATGGTCAATGGAGGAAACACTTGAAATCTTGATCTTCTGTCTTTCCTGCCTATCAGATATAATGGAGCATGTTGTTTTTAAGGCTCCACTGCAGCTAGTTGAAAGATTAGCTGAGTAGATTCCTCTGCCTTAATTAGCTTGTGTCAGTAACATCCAAATCCTTTCCCTCACAGGGCGACTCTGGTGGCCCAGTTGTGTGCAATGGAGAGCTCCAAGGAGTTGTGTCCTGGGGGATTGGCTGTGCTCTGCAGGGTTACCCTGGAGTCTACACCAAGGTCTGCAACTATGTTGACTGGATCAAGGAAACCATTGCTGCCAACTGAGAAATCCAACGCCGACTGGTTTCCTGGTGACATTTCCTTCCCCCTCCTTTGACTCATCTCTGAAAAGAACACAGAGCAAATACAAATATATTAGAGCTAGAAAGTGCTTTCTGGGTGTTCGTGTTTTTTCATTGTTTTTCATAACAATGCCTTACCGGACCATATAGCTGGTACATGATGGGATCACTGTCCCAGCATCGAATGGTCCATCTCTGGGTGACCCACAGCACGTAGCAATACTCCACATCACAAACTTAGGGTGCGCCTTCACTGCAGCATTTTTCTGGAATAATGTCCGTTATTCCAGAAAAACAATCCTTGAGTCCACACTGCAATTGTGTTCTTTCAACAAAAAGTTGAAAGAACAGTGGGATTTTTCCACCAGCAGTAAACCTCCTTCTACGAGGAAGAAGGCTTTTTCCAAAAAAACTTGTTTGGAAAAAGGCGTGTGTGGATGCGGAAGAGGGAGTTCTTTCGAAAGAAGAGGCCTTGAGAAAATAACACAGGTGCCCTGGTGACCACTCCACCCAAACTCATCACAAGTCCTCACCCAGGGAGAGAAAGGCATAGGGGGGCAAGGCACAGGCCTTAGTGGGGAGGCCCTGAGGAGAGTTCCATCTATGGTCCCCCCACAGTTGGGGAAGCCCAGGGTGGCAAATCCAGCCATGATGGGGTCCAGGTCTCCCAGGTGGACGACCCTGTGCAGCAGGACAGAGTTGATGGCCCTCATCACCTGCAGAAGGAGACAAAGAAACACACAAAACAGAATCAGAGGGGGTGGCTGAGCCCTTGGGAGGTCCCTGAGTCCCATTCTCCTTCCACCGCCAAACACCCCAGAAGCCACCCTCTATGATGCCCCCTGCAGCTCTCTGTGTGTGGAGGACAGCAGAACCCCCCAGGAATGGCACTTCTCCCTCACCCCCGGCCTCCCCTCCCCACCCCCTTTCCCTAGGGTCCCCCTTTCCAGAACTCCCCTACCCGCAGGGACTGCAGCCAGAGAGCACCTCTATGAGGAGGGCCCCAATGGTGGATTTTCCCACGCCAAGCTGGTTGCTCATGGACCAGTAACTGTCTGGGGTGGTGAGCTTCCAGACGGTGATGGTGACCCACTTCTCCAAGGGGATGACAGGTTGCATCTGAGTGTCCCATCGATGGAGGGCAGGGGCGAGCCAGGCACACTGCTCCATAAATGTGGCCTTCCAAATGCAGAAGATGTGGAGCCTCTACTGGTCATCCCACCACTCCATGTCCAGTTGGTCCCATTAGTCGAAACTGGTGTCCAATATCTCTCCACCATGGGGTGCTTTGCAAGGGCCTTGCTCCTGCACACAGGCAGAGGGTCTCACTGATGGGCTCAGAGTCAAGCTCTTGCAGGACCTTGAAGGCAGCCTGCACAAACTGCTGAGGAAACTGCACCATGGCAGTGTGGGGCCATCACATGCTGAGAGGCAGTTCTGACTCCATGGCAAGGAGTGTGCTGTGGTGTCCACAGGCAGGACAACCAGAGCACACACTGCAAATGCTTTGCTGTCCCTCGGAGAGGTAGTAAGCAGGCAGCAGAAGCTGAGAAACAGCTGTCCGGGGGGAGGTCCCTTTAAGTGCGTCTCAACTAGCCTTAGGCAATAGCACCCAGAAGCAACTGCTGATCTAATGCCCTGCCTGAACTGGTTCCAGGTGGCCTTAAATGCAAGGTAGCGTCCAATCAGCGTGGACGCTATCTTTTGAAATAGCAAATCGCTTTTTCGTTGTCCTTTTTCCAAAAGAAGCCTACAGTCTAGATGAGGCTAAGTTCTGTGTAGATGCTCCTAATTTCGAAGGTACACAATTCATGTATCTCGATGGGATGGACGATAACCAAGTCTTCTCTAAACATACAACATTGTCCATGCATGTTTTTAAACAAGATTTAGTGGTTGTGAAAAGTGCGGACTGATAACCCTAAAGACTGATCCAAACAGGGACAGCAACAGAACAGGTTTTCTCGCCCTTCTTCTCTCCCCATCCCACACACAATGCAGGATTACTATATATACAGAGCAGTGTCTAATGCTGGGTCAGTCCTGTTCTAAATGGCTGATGGGGGCACCACTTCCCTCGGAGACCACTCCACAGTGCAACAGATCTGTTTGGAAATATTTTCAGAAATGTCTCTGTCATGGCGTGTCAGGGAGCCCCTGAGCCCTTCATGCCCATCCCCAGCCAGACATGACTCTCAGCCAGCAAGTAGAACAGAAGGCTTATTGGTTCACAGGGACACGGCGTAGTACTGGATTGATGTTACACAGGCCAGTCTAGACTGCATCCCTCTATCGACATAGGGATACAAATCAAGCACATTGAAATTGCTAACAAAGCAGGGATTTAAATATCCTGTTCCTCATTAGCATAAACATGGCCACCAGTTTTTTCTAAACAGAGGTGTTTTTTTAAAAAACAGCAGTCTAGACGTGGATCTGTCGAAAATAAAGCCTTTTTCAACAGCTCCTGTATTCCTCAATAAATGAGGTTTACAGGATCTGTCAAAAAAGGGTTTATTTTCGACAGGTCCATGTCTAGACTGTCGGGTTTTTTCGAAAAAACTTCATTTAGAAAAAAAGTGGCGGCCATGTTTATGCTAAGGAGGTGCGGGATATTTAAATCCCTGCTTCATTAGCAATTTCGATGTGCCTAATCTACATCTGTCAACAGAGAGGTGTAGTCTAGACACCCACAGGGACCAGGAGCAGGCAGCATTATTCCTCTCAGGGAGAAGGGGTCCCAGGCCTTCTCCCGCCTTTCCCACTCTAAGCCCCTTCTCCCTTCCTAACCCAGCCAAGTGACTCATCCCACAGGCCCTAGTCCCCAGCCTGGTGTCAGCTCCGCCTGCCCTGTCTCCCTTTCTGGGCAGGAGTTGATATCTCCCATGCCTGGCCCTCAGGTGTGACAGGTGGAATACACTTCTGCAGTGGTTCAACCCCCCTCGTCCAGACAGTGCTGCCGTGCCCAGCACACAAAGCAACACAATCCCTGCTATGGCACATCTCCGCAACACAATCCTCACTACGTCCCAGGGTTCGAAGTCGGGGTAGCACCCAGTTTTATTGCTGTCACCTGGTTCACAGGAGGAGAGAGACTGAACATACTTCCACAGTGAGTCATGACCAGCCTCCCCCTCCTCATGCACAAAAGCTTCAGAGAGGTAGCCAAGTTAGTCTGTAAGGGTATGTCTACACTACCACCCTAGTTCGAACTAGGGTGGTAATGTAGGCAACCGGAGTTGCAAATGAAGCCCGAGATTTGAATTTCCCGGGCTTCATTTGCATAAAGCCGGGCGCCGCCATTTTTAAATGTCCGCTAGTGCGGACTCCGTGCCACGCGGCTATACGCGGCACGGACTAGGTAGTTCGGACTAGGAGTCCGCACTAGCGGACATTTTAAAATGGCGGTGCCCGGCTTTATGCAAATGAAGCCCGGGAAATTCAAATCTCGGGCTTCATTTGCAACTCCGGTTGCCTACATTACCACCCTAGTTCGAACTAGGGTGGTAGTGTAGACATACCCTTACAGACTAACTTGGCTACCTCTCTGAAGCTTTTGTGCATGAGGAGGGGGACAGACTGGCAGGGCATGTAGATGGTATCATAAGCTTTATGCCCATGAAAGCTCATGATACCATCTACATGTTTTGTTAGTCTTTAAGCTGCTACTAGTCTAGTTGTTGTTTTTAAGTTTTTTCTCCTTATGCAGATAGTGCTGCAGTGTCTGGGGAAAACTGAGGCACACACACACACACAATACAGCGAACCGTGAATGTAACAATAGAGTAAACATAGGAATACAATAGTGGACAACTCCCCCACTATGTCACAGTCTCCCCTCTGCTCAGTTTTGTCCCATTTACGTATGTATTTGTAGTCCCTGTTCCTCGTGGAAATAGATTTCAGATGTCTTGCCTACTGCAAGACTGAAGGTGCACAAAACATAACTGAAGCATTGTCCTCTTCTTCATCCTTTTCTGTCTCTCTCACTGTCTGCTCTTTTAATTCACTTGCAATGCCTGTACTTTTGACAACTGCCCATCAAGTCCGAAACCATGGCAATTCCAAACCCAAAATGGAAGAAGGTTGCCCTCTGTTTGCAGCTTTGGAGAATTACCTCTTAAAATTAACATCCAAATGAAGTGGCAACATCATCCATAGGCATCATGACACAAAGTTAAATGTAAACAAAGGGAGGAATGTGATTGGTCAAAGAGCCCCCTCTCTCCCTGGACAGGTAGCTTGTGGAGTGGAGCTTATTAGTGACATTAAGGACATCAACAGCCACAAAGTTGCTTCATTATTCTCTTGTAAATCTCTTCCGGAAGCTCTTCTTTGCCCTGACAATAAAACTTAACAGTAGGTAGGATGCTGCTATGTAGAAACTACAGCCTATCAAGCTGGCCAATTCTGTTTCATAGTTTCCCTGTACTTATGGTAGCCGTCTGTTTTCTCTTGGGTTACATTTAGATTGTAAACTCCCTGGGGCAGACAGTGCCTGTGTTTATACAGCCCCTAGCACACTGCAGTCCTGGTCTATGACAGAGGCTCTGAATACAAATAATGCAGATACTTTTTTATGACGTTGTTGTTATTGTTATTATTAATAATGACAACAATAATAATAATTCAAGTAAAAGTCCACAAAAGGCAAAATGAAAGCATAATTATATAGAGACTTCGCTTAGTGATGGTCCTTGTAGTAACAACTGGAGACACAGAACGGCAAAGACAGATACACTACACACTATCAAGAGATGAGACAGAGACAAATGGGCAGTTAGTTAATGTCTCAAAACAATACTTCTAATACTCCAGTCATCTGAAGAAGTGGGCTGTGCCCACGAAACCTCATGATACCATCTACATGTTTTGTTAGTCTATAAAGTGGTACCAAACTATTTGTTGTTTTTTAAGTTTTTCCTATTACAGACTAACTCAGCTACCCTCTGGAGCTTTTGAATACTTTTACATGTAATTCACTTTGAAAAGGCAAACACAGACACAATTGTTCCCACTGGTTAGTGGCCACCCACGTTTGCAGAAGCATGTGTCTTTACTAGTGCAGAACATTTCAGATTGCAGAGGTGCTTTGATTTCACTAATGCTGAAAACCCATAATTACTGCAGGGACACACCTATATCTGTCACCCAGCCTCTGTGTGTGTGTGTGTGTGTGTGTGTGTAGGCCAGGGCCGGTTCTAGGTGGAGCAGGTGTCGGGCTTTGCACCTGGGCAGACAATGCGGGGAACGTCCTCCCCCGAAGCTGGCCACGCCACACCCGGGGACCCTGCTAATCCGAATTGCTGCTCACTCTGCTGCTCACTCTGGGCATTGCAATGGGACTGACTGCGCACACACCCCGCCCGAGCCTGAGGTGCTCCCCGCCCTGTGCAGGCCCTGCCACTGCCGAGCGCTGCACACCTGCAGATCCCACCAGTGGGTGAGCAGTGAGCAGTGGCCAGGGCCGGTTACCCACTAGCGAGGGATCCGATGCGGGCAGCGTGTTTCGTCCCCGCACCTGACAGCTGTTTGGGGCTGGCATGACCGCACTGTCTCACCTCCGCCAAACCCAGGTCGTGGAGTGGGGCCAACGATGGGCTGCAGCTGCTGTAGCTGTCTCCCTAGCTGCCCACGTAGTGAGCTTACCTCCCAGGCGGCGAGCCCTGTGGGTGATGGCAGCCGAGCCTGGGCTCGCATGAGCGGTCGGGCTCCCAGGCTGGCTTCAGGATGTGACAGTGACTCCCGCTGCGCGGTGCCTGGAAAGGGCTGGGATCCCACGCCAGGGCTGGATCCAGTCAGGGCCCCATCAGCTGCGCTGAGAACTTCGCCTGGCTCTCTCCTCCCTCCGCACCCAGCACTGAGGTGCTGACCCTTCTTCCCAGGCGGCCACGTGGGGCAGTAAGAGTGCGCGCTCCCCCTGCAGGCTGCCGGCTCCGCCGCCCCGCCCATTGCCTTGGGCGGCCAGAGGCAGGCCCGTGTTGGGCATTAAGGCTGGCCGGAATGCTGCCCCTGGAAATGTGCCGCCTCAAGTACCTGCTTGGTTTGCTGGTGCCCTGGTAGAGGCAGGTCTAGCACAATGTGGGACTAGCAGGTTTGGTAAGACAGGTAGGTGTGCTCCTTAACAACCCAGCTCTATTTATTTATAGGGGGGGCACATCTGCAACCCCTGTGACACCTTCCTGTACACACAGAGGCACATGCACGCAGGCACACACTTTAAGCACTGTATTTTACCAGTGTCCCAAAATGAACACCAGCTTCCCCACACCACTCTGGTTCTAAGTACTGCTGCTAGCCCCTCTCTTCTCTGCAAACTCTGCTCTCTGCTGGACAGACTAGGTCAGAGTTTCTTGTGTGTGTTGCATTTCCTATTGCTTGCTGCCTGAGAAGAGCTAGTCCTATAAGTGAGATGATTGGACTGGGTTTGGGTATGTGTATGCCCCCTACTGGATGGTTGTCAGAACTTTTTCATGTGTCTACCCCTTCCCTTGGTAGGCTTAGTGTGTGTAGATTACATTTAGCTGACATGACTTCTTCCTTTGTGGGGTGCACCCTGATCTGTAAACAAGCCTCTGGGGAAGGACGCACTTCCAAGGGCTATTTTATGTGTGATGTAGGGGTGATAAACAGGATGTCATGTGACCTGACCGCATGCCCACTCAGAATGTCTATATAAGGGCTGTATTTCACAGAATCAACCATCGTCTTTTTTCCTTGACCCCTTTACTAACAGTCTCAGCAAAGAGGTGAAGAATTGAATGGGCCAATGAGGCTCAGCTCTCTTCTTGTTCCCAGATAAGATCTCTTCATGGCAGGGACTGCAACTCACGGTGCATGAAAAAGACCTGCATTGCCATTGCCTATGGTATGCCACTCAGAGATTTGCCATTCCAAGGATAAACAGAGGTCTCAGGCTCCAGGGACTGTCAATCTAGAGCGAGATCATCTCACCAGCCCAGATTTTCAGAGAAAAGATCAACGCTCAGAAAACGCTGTAAACAATGGCTCCATTCTGGCAGGAGAATACAGGGCCTCATAGTCCAGAGCTAATGGGTCCGTGGTGGATTAAAAGGGTGGGAGAGGTGGGGGGAAGGGGGTGGAAGGAATATGCAGAATGCTGTGGAGATAAAAGATAGGTGTCTAATCAGCTCACTAATGAAAAATTTTGCCACTGATTTTTTTCTAGCCATGGAATAAGGCTTCTGCTATTAATATGTGTTATAAAGAGATGGCTATAGTTAGAAATAATCTCTCTCTCACACACACACTTACACACACATGCTCATACACGGAGCATTTCCTCTCCAAACAGCAGCAAATGAACTGCTGAGGAAACAGACAGGTTCTGGAGAAGCTCTCTGATGGTGGTTGGGCAATGTCATGGAGGGGTGGAGCCTTGAGGAGGATTGTTTTTGTATGAGGTTGTAACATTGTGGGGACAGGGGGCCCACGGTGATACATTCTCTAGGGAGGCCTTTACAAAAACCTTCCTCATGGGTATCCCATTTGAGAGAGAGCCGAGACAGATACAGAGCAGTCTGCAACACAGCAGATACATTCTACCTGGTCTGTGCCTACGCCCATTGCTGTACAATACAGCAGGCACTTTCTACCTGGGTTGGACATACCTATAGGACTCTGCAGCATGGTTTATCTTCTACCTAGGATGTCTTTACAGCATTTGGCTCCACTCCAACTGGGATGTAACAGAAAGATCAACAGCTCTGCCAGCATATTCTACCTGGGAAGTATTTATGTTTGATAGGACAGCCAGTGCTGGGCTGGCCCTGAAACATTTTTGAGCACAAAAGATTCAGCCAGGATAGACATAAAACACACGTCAGTTCAAGAGTCAGAAACTTCACATTATGCTAGTGTGCTAACTTCTTGCAATAAGTGGCCCTTTATTCATGTGAAAAAGCCTCCCTGAAAAAAGACAATTCAAGACATAACAGAGACCTGTCAGAAATGTGACTTGCGGTGCCAGAAGTACAAAAGAGACAGCAGTGATTCAAATGTAAATCTCTTCTGGGTCTTTCCCTCTCCAGTTCAGCTTCCTGTAACCCTGATTATAGCAACAGGTTCAAGGCTTCCCTTTGACTCACCCCTTTATTAACTCAGGAAAGGCAGGGATTAGACTGGGTCTAAGTGACTGAATTGCCAGGATTATCTTTGGGGTTTTGGGTTGACTTCTGTAATCTACTAGGATGCCTGTCAGTTTTCTATCAGGATCTTCCTAGGACTTCGGCACCCTGTCAGCAGAGGAGAAATCAGAAGGCTCTTTGCTTTAATTCAGGGATAAAAAGATGCTGACACCATGCTCTTTGTGAGCATCTGTTTATAGTTATTCCTAGTTCCCATTAACTAATTTCTTCACTGACCCTTGAACATCTACCACTTGCAGAAAGAATGGCTGCCTCCGCCTTGGAGAACAGGACTGGGAATTTGGAACTTCAAGGCACCAAGAGGTCCTATTCTTAGTGCTTTCACGGACTTGTGGACAACCTTGGGTACCTATTTTCTCCATCTGTTAAATAGGGACAATATGTATTGATCTCACAAGGGAATGCGAGGGCTGTTTAGATAATGTCTGTAAAGCAATTGGAAGGAGAACTATAATAATAGGATCAATAAATAATGAACAATACTCTTCTAGTGAAAGCTAGTGAATGCTGAGTAGTCCACAGAAGCGACATAGGCCCTGGGGTTTTAGATAGGGTTAACACCTCTTATGCCTGTCCACCTAACCTGGAGCATGTCCCTTTCTTCTGCTTATTTATGCAGCTCCTTGTCATTGTGACCAACGATAAAGTCTATTTTGGCACAGGCACAAAACTCACTGTGATAGGTAAGAAAATTTTATTTTAATCCCTTGACATTCCATAACTTCCCCTTTGGAAGCAACTCCTTCCCCATCCACATTCCCTGTTAGTTATTGAGCTGGTGTTTTCCCAGTGTGTCAATTACCAAGTCTACTTCGGAGAAGGGACTAAGCTCACTGTCCTAGGTAAGGCATAAAATTCCCTGTTGGTTGCTGAATGACTGTAATTTATGTGGAAAGGGGACTGTCAGAGACAAGAATTAGGAATGATGAGGGGCTGTGATACATTTGTATATACTAAATTTGAATTAATATAACAACCTCTGCACAATCTCTCTGTAAATATTTCCATTGCAAGCTAGTAATTCTGGGGCAGAATTCTGGAAGAGACAAACAAATATGCATGATATTTTTTGAAGACAAAATAGAAACACAAACAAACAATCAGTTTTATGACAAGTTGTGTTCTCAGATGCCTGATGCTCTAATTCCTAGTTGCTCTTTTTCCATCCACTGGGACTCAGGGCCCCTAATAACACACCAAGTGAAGAAGTCTTCCTGGCACAGCTATTACAAGAAAAAAGATCATTTAGACAATGGGAAAGCTTAATGCAATGAGAATCCAAAAATCCCAAGAGATGATGCTTGCCTAGGTCATGTCTGCACTAGGAAATTATTTCAAAATAACTTATTTTGTAATAATAACTCCTGAAATAACTATTTTGAAATAAGTGTTATTCCTTGTAGAAAGCAGAAGTTATTATTCCAAAATAATGAGCCCTTTATTTTGAAATAACGGGCTTGGTAGTTTGGATGCTCTGCTGGTTATTTCAAAATAAGGGGAGTTATTTCAAAATAAATTCTAGGTTAGACCAGGGCTTACTGACAGTAGTAGGTCATGTAGTTCAAACATAATATAAAGCTTTGGGGGGTCCCCTCTTTGGTTTTGGACTTCCTCAACTTTGATGGGCAAAACAACCTAACAAACGACCACTGTGTTATCATTGTCACACAGCTGTCATCAGGATCAGCATTCTTGCTACCACCAAACTTTTGATTGCACCAACCCCCTTTTAATAAGGCTGTAGAAGTGTTATGGGTTACTAATTGTGATTTCCACAACAATCAGTCATGGAGAGTCCTATAGTAATTTTACAATGATTAATTGTCTTTTGTGAGATGTGAGTCTCTGATATCTGGCCTGCAGGAATTCAAGGTTTAGGACACAGATTGACCAAAGCCTGTTGAATGTGCACTTTGAAAGTTTCTGGTCAAGACAGGTAAGAAAAACTAGTGGAGCAGAGGTGCTGAAGAGTGTATTGGGGAAACTTTGAACAGCCTGGGGGATGGGGCAAGCTGCTAAAGAACGATGTGGAATCACTATCTGGAGATGAAAGCAGAGGTTAGAAGGCCATCTGTCAGAGATGAGTTAGGGACAGTGAATTCAGTCTTCCTGTGACAAAGAGGAATAGACTGGAAGGCCCCGTCAACCTTAAATGAGTTTGTGTATAGGTTTTAATGGTGTAAGCATCAAGTGGGGATCAGATTTAGATGGGGTGGGAGGTGAGAGATACTGAGATGACAATGAGCAATAAAAGGCAAGGATTCTGGATGAATTTCAGAAAATATTTCCTACACTGAGTCTGAACAAGTCTACCTGACTGAACTGTTGAAAGCCCCATCAGTTGACCCATTTAAATATGGAGCAGATAGGGCCCTGAAGAAGAAACTGTAGGAACCTGTTGTACATTGGCCCGAGCAGGGACACACTTGGTATGACCTTACAGATGGTTTATATCTGTTATTTCAAAGGCATTATAACGTGCTGTGCCTTTGGTTTCTCCTTGTCCTGGTTTATGGTGAGGAGGGGTAGATGGGGTTTTCCTGCAGCTGCAAAATGTTGTGAACTCTGAAAGGCAGTACTTCGGCGATGGCACCAAACTCACTGTCCTAGGTAAGAGAGAAGACTGAGTGGTGTGTTGTTTGTGATATTTGTGAGGTATTGCCATGTGAAACTTGCCCAAGCTACATCTTGGGATCCAACCCACATGCCTGCGGTCCATCTAGTCCAGTGTCCCACCTCCCGGAACATGCCTGCGGTCCATCTAGTCCAGTGACCAAAAGCTAATAGCAAATGCTTCAGAGGCATGTGTGACTCCTGCCCCAGCCAGAAAGTAGCTGCTAATGCCATCTGGTACTGTGATGGCAGGATTTCTCCTTGACACCAAACAATGGCCAACACAAGATCTGAAGCCTGTGTATTGATAGTCCTGATGGTCCTGGTGTTACTGCATGTTGTATTCTGAGCTATATGTGTGTCTAATTCATTTTGGATTCAGCCATGGGACTAGGTCTTCTCCCTGGTTATAGAGTCATCCCTCTCTCTCTACAGAGCAATACATTGGGCTAAAAAGGATAAAATGAAATTGGGGTGAGGAGTTTCCAGTGGCTGGGATGCATTATAACATGAGCACTCACTGGAAGCTCTATGGCAGGAGAAAGAAAGAAATAACAAGAAGATTGGGGGTGGGGACCTCTGCCTAGTCCCTGGGGTTTCTGCAACTCTCCTGCCTCATTGTGTAACAACCGGGAGCAGTACTTCGGGGATGGGACCAGGCTCACAGTGTTGGGTAAGGAACGGGCTACTGGCCCTGTGGGGCTGTGGGTGTGGTGTGACAACGGGAGAGCTTGGGCTACTTGGCACTTTACTCTCTGGAGATTGTCATTAGGCTGTCTGGCTCTCTCTGGAACTGTTACACTTGGGGGTGAGAGTAACTTACAATTTCTTACGGGTACTGTCCTGTTGCAAGCTGGGTCCCTGCCAGCTCTTTCAGTAGCTCCCTGCTGGCTTTTGCCACAGCTTAGCCAGCTCTTGCTGGAGCAGCGCACTGGGGTGCACCCCTTACCATCACCTCTGGTTACACTCCACAGTATTTCGCTTTCACTGACCCCAATTGGTAATTTGTCTTGCTGACTGTCTATCTCTCTTTTTCTTGATTCGCCTCCTCTCTCTGTAGTGCTCGTACTCCCTCTTTTTTGTCTCTCTGTGTTTCTCACACACAGTTCCTCTCTCTTTTCTTTTCCCTTCTCTCTAAGCTGTTTTGAGAAAATATAGGAAGGACATTATAGAATCATGTACTGCTCTTTGCACCTGACTCCTGCTGCCTAACTGCAGTCTCCTGTGATACAATCTGACCATGATCACTCCCAAGTTTCCTGAGTTGGGGCACAGAGGGGACTGGGATAGGCTTTAGCAGTTGTGGGTTTCCTTCTGAGGCCTTACAGCGGTGTTCTAATACCTCTCCCCTTATCTTTGGAGCTGGCACTCTGCTGACTGTTACAGATAAGGGGACATGATTTATCATTCTGCTCCCCTGAAGGACACGTAGAATTTTCCCTCGTGCTAGTGACACGTAGCATTCACACAAGGGGAGGGGAGGGAAAACTGGCAAGAAAATTATTCAAAGCAGAAACGCCAGTCAGCTGGCACTTAACTCCATGATGATAAGGGGGAAACCAATGATAGTGTACTCACCTATCAAAAAATATTGACCTTGGCAAGGGGGTATAAATAATAGACTATTCCTAAAATACTGTCTCAATAGATTTCTTTCAGATTCTCTCTTTCTATGCAGCTGCCTGTTTGTCTCCATCTCTCTAGTCCATTCCTAATCTGCCCATTTATTTGACCTTCTGTGTTTTCTGTGGGGTTTGCAGCTGTGTTGGTCCCAGGATATTAGCAAGATAAGGTAGGTGCAGAAATATCTCTTCCAATCCCAGACCTGAAGAAAAACGCAATATATCTTGACACCTTATCTCTCTCATAAACGGAAGTTGTTCTTATAAAAGATATTACTATAGGGTGCGTCTACACTGTGCCATTATTTCGAGATAACTAGCGTTATTGAAAAATAACAATATGAGTGTCTACACAGCCATCCCATTATTTCAAAATAATGGATGACTTATTCCTCAATCTGTAAACCTCATTCTATGAGGAATAACACCTATTCCGAAATAGCTATTTTGAAATAAGGCTTGTGTAGATGCACCACTACTGCTATTTCGAAATAGCCCCTCAGCAGAGCCATTCTAAGTTATTCCTCCCCAGTGCCCCCTGGGACTCTAAGTCAAGGTAGCAAATCTTAGGGAAGTCTGCCTCGGATTAACTTTGAGGGTTTCTTGCAGTATAGACGTACTATTCCAGAAAAGCTTATTTCAAAATAGCCGTGTAGTGTAGACGCACTCTTACACACTTTTTGTGTTTGCAAAACAAAGCTTTAATTATAAGGATGGATGCAATAAAAGAGATCAGAGCTCTCCTGTAGTCACAATATTGCTTATGGGGAGCAGGAGGCAGCTGCTCAGGTTCTTGCAAGTCCCTGACTGCTGTGCTCTCTAGCCAGCACACCAAATTATGCAGAGGGAACCCATTACGCTGTTCTGGGTACGCACTGACAATCGTGGCTAATATTAATCACCATAAGAAAGCACCAAGATTTGGAATCCACATTAAAACAGGTTCCATCAGATAAAAACCTGCACTGACTCCCACATATCTTAGAAATGGTTCTTTGTGTGGGAGCCAGTGAGACTCAGCAAGCAGTGCAGCATGCTGATTCTCTGAAAAAGGCAGTGAAAATCACCCCCCAGGTGATTTTATATGGTTTTTCCAGGGATACCTTGTGAAAGGTATCTATCATTGATCCCATGTCATTTGAGGATAAGAATAATTATAGTAGTGCTGCAAAAAGATCAGTGATTTGTTTACTTTGCTATACCACTTGTTATTGTAAGGGCCCCAACAGGGAGAAACCTAATACTACAGTAGTGGGTGCTTTAGAAATGCTCGCTGCCTAAATCTGTCACTTATTTAATGTGTTAAAAACAAAACATAAATCTTAACTAAGGGCAAAATAGTGAACACAAATTATGCAAATGTGTGACCGTGTTTCTGCCTGATGGAGTAGTTAAGTCTTCTTTTGATGCCTGATTTGGCCAGTGTTGGAAGCCAGACTGTGCAGATC